TACTAACCCGCTGCAATGGAGCAGCTCTAATGCTATTAAATTAAAGATGTACCATAGAGCAAAAAATGAACAGTGAAAGTAACAAAAACTTGTAAAATACATTTTAATGGGCATAATTAAGTGTGAAAATAACAGAAGGATATACAGTCAAACCAAAAATTATTCAGATACCGGATATAATTTTACTAGTGGGTGCAGGACACTATATTCATTTATGTAAGTGAGGGTAGCAAAATAAAGTAAACAAATTATACCCAAACTTTCTTCATACAGTGGACTACCAGTAAAACTGATACAAACTTGGGACCAAAAATTATTCAGACCGAGTCTGGAAAAAAAAAATGAAGTTGAGGTTTGCATGAACCTGGATGACAGCATGCCCAGGAGACTACAGGCTGTCATTAAGGCTAAGGGTTGCCCGACTAAGTATTGATAGTTGTATAAATACTGTCATACTAACACACACACACACAAGTCATGTCATTGACCCATAAACTCTCTCACTTTCACAGCTATCGAAACCCAGAGTACGAGTTCAGAGGAGATCGTCCCGAGCCCACCCTCTCCGCCCCCTCCTCCTCGCATCTATAAGCCCTGCTTTGTGTGTCAGGACAAATCTTCAGGGTACCACTATGGCGTCAGTGCCTGTGAGGGCTGCAAGGTGAGTGGCGTGACCCATTCTCATTCAATCACACCGCATGTGCTTGACCCAAAACTAGCAACACAACTAAATTAGCTTAGTAGTCAGCTGTTTTAAAAATACAGTAGTATCAGTTTTTTCAGTAAGCTATTTTTTTTTTCTAAAAAGTAGAGAAGAATAACTAAATACTGTTTACACAGGGTATAGTAGTGTTAGTGAAGTACATGTAAACATAACTTGACAATACTTGGACATTTTCAAGCTCACCCTCAAACATTCTTATGTAGTTACTTATTACAAACATACTGCTTCAAAATTCGCGTTTTCAAAACGTCGAAGAATCGTGAATTTACAACAGACCATGTTTTACTCAACAATTGAAAAACCCCATTATAAAAACCCATCTTGAGGTAAAAATCTTGAGGTAACCCATGGCTAATTAGTCTTCTGAGTGTTGCGGTCATGGCTGCAGCACTGCCCCCTTCATTAGCATAGTTATTGTCCGCTTCTATGTGAAGCTGCTTAAATGTAAACTTTTCATATGCTAAAGTAGTAGTTTCAAGTGACATGTTCAAAACCATCTAAATGGGGTGCAGTGGACTGGCACAGAATCAAACTAGTAGTTAACCATCCTGACCCGTTATACACATTCCTCTTTCTCTGTTCTCAGTGTGAGACAGATTGTTTACCTTTCTTGTGTCCAGACAGAGTGCACTGGAATCAATAGATCTGGATGAGACTTATGAATGTTAAAACCATTAAGAGATTACCTTCAACAAGCTCATTGAATTAGCCTGAACTAGCCTTAGTTTTGTCATTAGTGATTTTTGCTATGGCCGTACCACTGTTGCCACTGTGACTTTTACTTAAGGTTAGTGATCTGTACAAACAAAGACTATAGAATACCCAAGATTTGTCACTTGTATAGTTTTGAATGGGGGAAAATGTAATGCTCAGTATGGCCGCTTTATTGAAGGAAGCCCCGCCTTCTGAGTAAAAGAGCCAATCACTAATCGGTAAAGTCACCGTGTCACTGCAGCTGCCATTAGAAGTCCCGGTTGCTATAGAAACAGCATTCTGAGACGTGTGCTAAGGACTGCGCATGCGCATTGGCTGGTCTAGCCTGTAAAAAATAAGCTTTTTTTTTCAACGTGATTAGAGCATAAGAAACAACATTTATGACACAGTTGTTGTCAGATTTCATTGGTGATTTCAAATATGAAATTTAATCATAAGCTTGGCGAACAGTTTTGGAGAATTTGATGTTTCCCCATTCAAAGATATAGGAGCTGCACTTGCATGCAGAGGCGAAGATGGCCGTCGAGTGAAATTACTTGCCTTAAAGAGACTTTGGAACAAACCCTTTTTTTTTGTTTTCATGTACTGTGCATATGATGTAGATTTCATATGTCCACACGGTGCACTTTGCAAGTCTATGTGTTAGGTTGTCCGCAATCGCTAAACATTTGCATCAAAAAGTATATTTTGGGGATAGTTCACCCAAGTCATGGCAAGCATGTTATTGTACCATATTTGATGTGCATTAATCAATGTTTATATATTTGATTGAAATCCTAAATTATATTTCTTTATCATATAAACCGATTGTGTCTCTTCATGAGACTTTACAAAGCTTGATTCACATGGATTACTTTTACGATCTTTTATGAACTTTTTTAAGCTTGAACGTTTTGGTCAAATGCTTTTTCAATAGAGGAACAAATCTTTCAAGTTTTATGTGTTCTTTTTTAATTTTTTATATCAAAAATATCTTCTTTTGTGTTTCAAACATACATGCATTTTTTTTTTTTTTTAATTGATCAGACCTAGAATTTTGTCTGGTTGATGTTAAGGGCAAAAGATTCTCATAGACTTATACTGAAGGAGTATATCGTAAAGACTTATGGGTGGGCTTTTTGGCTTTTTGTTTTTGGTCAGTAAGCAACATCCTAGCAACCATCCAAAGCACTATAGTAACACCCTAGCAACCACTCAGAACTCTTTAGCAACCACATATCAATGGCCTAACAACCACCAACAATACTTTAACATTATGCCTATGAGTTTTGTAGGGGAAAAGCACCATCAGATGTAAACATCTAGTTGTTTTGACAAATGACTGGCATTTGGCAAATGACTGGCACTCTCTGTGGTCATTAAAAATCCCAGGATGTCTTTCGAAAAGAGTAGAGGTGTGACCTCAGCATCCTGGCCAAATTTGCCCATTGGCCTCTGATCATCATGGCCTCCTAACAATCCCCATATCTGCTAATTGGCTTCATCACTCTGTCTCCTCTCCACCAATAAGCTGGTGTGTGGTGGGCGTTCTGGCGCACTATGGCTGCCATCGCATCATCCAGGTGGATGCTGCACACTGGTGGTGGATGAGGAGATACCCCCTGACAATGTAAAGCGCTTTGAGTGCCTAGAAAAGCGCTATATATATGTAATGAATTATTATTATTTTCTTGCATCTCATGGAGTTTGTCTCACAGTCCAAATTGTGTTGTTTGTGTTTAGGGATTCTTCAGGCGAAGTATTCAGAAGAACATGGTCTACACGTGCCACAGAGAGAAGAACTGCATCATCAACAAAGTCACCCGCAACCGCTGTCAATACTGCCGGCTGCAGAAGTGCCTGGAAGTGGGAATGTCCAAAGAATGTGAGCAATGCATCAGTAATACTCTCTCCACAGCTGAAGTACTCTTGCCAAAATATGAAACAGCAAGTAGAGATATGAGTACACACACACACACACGCACACACACACACAGTCAGTGCCTCCCTCTGGCTATAGGAGAACACGTCTCCACACAGCTAGGCGCTGTCAGACTTGAGAAGTTAATTGGTAGAGGTGAGAAAATACACACACACTCACACTCATTGTGCATTTTGACCAGTTGATGGGAAAAGTATTCTTAAAATGCATTCAAAATTCGGAATAATTTGTAATATGTAATTATTCACGGTATTTAGAAGTGCCCACGATAACAATATCGTGCATATTCATTACCGTGATATATCGCATTACCGAATACCGGCACAAGTCTAATGCATATGCTAAGCATTCAAGTAAAAACTGAAGTATATTTTTGGGTTTAAAGGGATATTTCATCCAAAAATGGAGGTCATAAAAATGGAAGTAAAAGCAGACATGTTCCATATTTGGGTACCATATTGTACCATATTTGATGTGCTCTATGTATGTGCATTGAACAACGTTTTACATGATTAAAATCCTAAATTAAATCTGTTTATCATATAAACCTATTATGTCTCTTCAGGAGACTTGGATTACAATGCTTGATTCACATGGATGATTTTTACAATCCCTTTATGAACTTTTTGAAACTTGGAAGGGTTATCTCTCAAGTTTCAATAAAAATATCTACTTTGGTGTTTTAAAGATGAACAAACGTCTTGTGGGTTTGGAATTAGAAAATCAGCCAACTATCCTTGTAAGTATAGCCTGCCCCACAGCTTTTTTCGATCTAATTGATCAGACCTAGAGTTTTTGCTGGTTGACGTTAAAAAACAAACAAACACCAGCAACACTTTACCATCATTGCTATGAGTTTTGTATGGGGAAAGCACCATGTGGAAGTTAAAATCTAGATGTTTTGACACATGACTGGCACTTTCTTGCATCTTTTGGAGTTTGTCTCACAGTCCTAATAGTGTTGTTTGTGTTTAGGGTTTCTTCAGGCGAAGTATCCAGAAGAACATGCTCTACACGTGCCACAGAGAGAAGAACTGCATCATCAACAAAGTCACCCGCAACCGCTGTCAATACTGCCGGCTGCAGAAGTGCCTGGAAGTGGGAATGTCCAAAGAATGTGAGCAATGCATCAGTAATACTCTCTCCACAGCTGAAGTACTCTTGCCAAAATATGAAACAGCAAGTAGAGATATGAGTACACACACACACACACACACACGCACACACACACACAGTCAGTGCCTCCCTCTGGCTATAGGAGAACACGTCTCCACACAGCTAGGCGCTGTCAGACTTGAGAAGTTAATTGGTAGAGGTGAGAAAATACACACACACTCACACTCACAGGTCTACAGCAGAAGTTGTGAATGTGCGTTTGTTCAGAAATATTTCCAGACAGATTCGAAGCGCTCTCACCATCAAGTGGACATGAGGCGTGTTTTTATAGAGGGATAGGGAACAATCCGGCATCATGTCAGAGGGTGTGTGTATATCTGGGTGACATGTCAAGCTCACATTAACCCCAAAAGCCAAAAAAAGAAAGAAATAGCTAATTTTCAATAGTTTCAATAGTAATATAAAATAATAATTAGTTATGCACTGAAATAAAATTAATACTGAATCAAATTTGATGTTAATTAAAAGCCAAAATCCGAAACTGAAACTAAAAATAAAGTTTATTTAATAATTACATTTAATTAATAAAGTTGTATACATACAAAAAAAGTACATTTCTATTAACTTTTTAATTATATAATTGTTTCTACTCAGATTTGTCGAAATATTTAAAAAAACAATTTAAGAAATTATAGTTAATATAAAAAAATATATATATTTAAATATTTAAATGATGGCTGTAATAACTTGTTTTATACACATTTTATTCAAACATAATGAAGACATGTTAAAGGTCCCATATTGTCAAAACTGAAATTTCCTGGCTTTTTTCATGATAACTGAGGTCTAGGTGCTATTTAACTACCATATAAGTTTCAAAACAGTCAGTCCACAGTAAAATGCATACAGCCTGCATAAAGTAGCTGTGATTTTTCACGAACCGTTGTGACTTCCGTAAAAAGTTGACGTCAGAACGACACAGTCACCGCCTTCAGTCACCACCCCGAGCACCGCCCACAGTCCCACTCTCCTTTTGCCAAACCCCCAGACAACATCGCGTCCATGCTTTTGCTGAGCAAGGACAACACGGAAACATGT